TTTCTACTTCTCTCTCTCTCTCTCTCTCTCTCTCTCTCTCTCTCTAATTATGCAACAATTGCCTCCTTCTACATACCTAACCTAATCTTTGACCTATGAGCTTTCGGTTGATGAAGAAAATTGGATAATTGCAAGCTCTTAATTAATGGAACATCGGTCACTCCAAAGGTTAGAAATCTTACCGCTCAATCGTATATGTATGCTATTACCGGTACATTTATAAGAAAAATTGTATGTTAGGGTACTTCACAATTAAAATAGCCTGCTATCCATCTGGTTCACAGGAGGTCAAAGGTAAAAGCAAATGACACTATTCTATTTCGAAAATTTAGGTAATTTTAACAATTCAATGCATAAATTTTCTTACTAACTAATATTTTAAATGCATTGAAAATTTCGTAATTTCAACAAAATCTTTAATTTTTGTAAATTAAATTGATGGAAAAAATTCTAGATTTTACACTGCCAATAATTTTGAAATGATAAGTATGCAAATTTTTACCTTTTTTTGCATAAATTATAAACTTTAAAAAATATTTGTAAATATTAATGTGTAGTTTTTCTTTTTGTTTTTGTTTTTCTTCATAACTCCCTCACTTTTAATCCTTTTTTCTGGCCTTGTACATTTTGTTTCTTGTTCCATTGTTGCCTGAGAAATGTCACATTAAATTGATTGATTGATTATTGCTAAATGAAAAGTGACATTTGTAGTCTGATATATTCAGTTAATTTACATTTATAGTAAGACAATAGATAAAGCTATCCATCCGATGAAATGGCCAAGATTATCACCGTAATTCTCAGAGTAATACACTTGAATGTCGCCGAGTTTATTACGGATAAACTTAATATAATTCTTCCTAACTTTCCAAATACTCCATACTAATAGTGAAATGGTACTTGCTATCGGGTAATCAATCTGATTATATGATCGGATAGATAATCTCATTTCTGACTTTACCGTAATTATATATGTGTGTCTGTTTTCCATATTTAGAAAAAACTTTTTGATTATAGAAAGAAAACCGGAACTTTTAAAAGTTCAACCGAATCAATGATTAATTTAATAAATGTCTACATTTTTTATTTACACTTAATTAGTAATTAATAATAATCTTATAAGAATTTAAAAAAGGAACCAAGAAAATATTGAAATTCAATAAAGTTGGGAGGAAAATAAGTGCAGTTAAATTATTTTAAAAATATGAATTTTTATTTGACACAAAAAATTCAAATATATTCATTAATGTGGAAATTTTAAAAGATAAATGTGAATTTTCACAAATTTTGAGTAATTTTGTACAAAAAAGGAACTTACCTTTTTTGAATGAATATTTGCGCCTCCACCGATCATTCCCTTTTTTTATTTCTAAAAAAAAAAGGAAGAAAGAAAAAGTTGGGATAAAAATAATAAATACAGTTGATTGATAACATTTTTCTACGAATTTAACAAAAAATTTGAAATTCAATAAATTTTGAACATTAATTCCAATGCTTTTTTATTTTGACAGAATGCTAAAATTTACCGCCACCAATAACTAAGAGCTTCTGATATTTCCCGAAGAAATTCACACAATTTTTTAGTGATAACGGAGGAAATTATTAATGTTAATATTATTACTGCAATTATTATTACTATTGTTATTATTACCATTATTGTTACTACTATTGTTGTTATTATTATTTATTATTATTTATTATTATTATTTATTGTTATTATTTATTATTATTTATTATTATTATTCATTATTACTTGTTATTATTTATTATTACTTGTTATTTATTATTATTATTATTATTATTATTATTATTATTATTATTATTATTATTATTATTATTATTATTATTATTATTATTATTATTATTATTATTATTATTATTATTATTATTATTATTATTATTATTATTATTATTATTATTATTATTATTATTATTATTATTATTATTATTATTATTATTATTATTATTATTATTATTATTATTATTATTATTATTATTATTATTATTATTATTATTATTATTATTATTAT